TATGGACCTAAGAGGAATGGGTCATTAGGACTGCTCTTAACTTCTAATAAAGAAGTATTGCAGTTAGGGTGGTGTGTAAACTTGTTTGGCTTTGGGATCCATTCAGGGGGTTGGTAGAGCATACTTCTGGGGTGGTTCATGGAGATGTGGCCTTATAATCTGTGGTTCCTTGCCTCTTCCTTTCTGGTGCTCTTCCCCTACTCTGCTTCCTAGCTTCCATGAACTGAGCAACTTTGCTCCACTTGCCCTTCCACTATGATGTTTTGCCTTGGAACCAGCCAACCATGGCCTGAATCATGAAAAATCATGATCCAAGTTAAACCTCTCTTCAAGTTGTGGGTGTCAGGTATGTCTCAGAGACAAGAAAACTGGCTAATACAAGAAGAAACAAAGATTCCAGGGTCAATTTTAGGCTGAGATTCTAGGTATACAGACATTAAAACCTTATTTAGCCAATCTCTGAACTGATTTTGTGAGCTTGCAAGAAAAACATTGAGTTAGTATGCTCTAGTTTGTACTTGGGACCTCCATTCTTCAGACCGCCCCCCTTCAACCTGAGGACACTAGGGAAAGCCAAAGCAACTTTTCAACAATCAAAGTTTGGTGACCCTGCTCTGGTCCCAGTTCTCATCTCCCCAGGGCAGGCACAATGAGGGCTGTGGTGAGACATTCTCTCATCCTGGAAGCTCTAACAGCTGGCTCTGAGCTGCTGCAGACAATGGAAAGGCAATCCCATGAGTTAAATATCAGAGAAATTGTGTTCTAGAAACAATTTCAGTGGATACCCATTTAAGGAAATATCTGGCCAGAGTTTTGAAACAGTTAATTGGGAAAAGAAAACTAATTAGGGAAATGACTTAAGGCCCATGAAGTGAAACAAGGAAAATGGAACTGTGGAAGATGGTATCTTCCAAAAATTACAGAGATATTTCTAGTCCTATATGCTTTTCCAGAATCTTGGCACTCCTTCATCAAGAGAGGAGTTAATTTCTTCTCCCTTTGAAACTCCATGGGTCTTGGTAACTGCTTCAATATATGGAATAAATAGCTGAAGGTGATACAGCTTCAACCTGGCTTTCTCTGTGCACATCTGACTTAGAACCTTGAGAGGAACTCCAGGCTACCCATAAAATTCATATGTAAGTATTCTGGCTATCAGCCCCAACTAAAGTGGTAGTTGATAGCTGGCATTACCTGCCAGACATGTGCGTAAACAAGTCTTTAATAATTCCAGGGTCTAACTTTTGAGTCATCCCAGTCTTCAAGTATTACAGCTGAGGCTTTAGCCATTGCAGAGCAGAGGCAAACCATTCAACCATTCTTGCTGTGCACTCTGGGAATTCCTGACTCATACAGTCCATCAGCATAATAAATCTCTATTTTATACTACTGAGTTTTGGGGTAATTTGTAGCCTAGCAAGAGATAACCAGAATGAGAACCTTGGCTTAAGGGGACTTCTGGGCATGTTTGTAATAGATGGTACCAACCCCTCTGCAAATCTAGCTCTCCCCTTCCAGGTTCCTTCTGCATATAGGTCATTTTAGGAGATCCACTGTTCCTCCCTTCAATGGCACTTTTGGCTCCACTCCTGTAAGTCCAATCTTATATGTATTTGAAGATCTGAACTTCAATTGCCCACTGGGTTTTAACTCTTTTCCTTACATTTCCTGGGCCCTAGATAAATCAGGAGTTAAGCTTAGACATTACTTCAGGTTTTGAATGTTCTATGATGGTTATGGGATATGCTGTGGTGGAGAATGATGGAAAGTGAGGAGAAAGAAAAGAACATAACTCCCCGAATCTGTGTGTCTATAGCCACTTGCTGTACTTAACTAACATGATTACAGAACCTTCTCTGTCAGGGCTATGCTACCACTTTCAGTGATAACACTTTGACCAGACACAAAGTGGAAAAGCCAAAAATGTAGCAATTTGATTATCTCATACGTTGTTGTAGCATACCCACTTAGTGCCTGAAAAATAGTGCATACTCAATAAATATTTGTTGAATGAAAGAAGGAAACAAGGAAATAAATCTTTTGCAAATGGGAAGGGGACCAAGGAATGGAAGAGAATGTAAAAGAATTAAGATATGTTATATAAATTTACCAGCTCACCAAAATGAAGGTAATCATTATGTACTGTAAACATATACTAATACAAATAAGAATTTTTTAAAAAAATGAACAAATGAATGAAAGAAAAATTTTGCCTCTTTCTACAGAGCAATACTTAATGTTAGACTAGCATAATGAGCTTATAAAATTGTAGTATGCAATAGTTTGACATTCTGTTGTTAGGTAGTACATTTAAACCTGCTCAAAGTAAACATTAAAACTTAAAGCTGAGTTCCTTGAGAGTGGAGATATCTTATTCCATTTTGTATTCCAAGAATCTGGCAGTTTGCTTGGTACTTGCTAATTGAATGTTAAACAGAGACTGGAAGAAATATTTCAAATCATTTAGTTTTCTTTGCCTAGTGGAAGGCAGTGATAGAGAAGGATGTTGGCCAGAAATACTGAGTCCAGAAGTCTTAAGAGTTCTCAGTCTCTAAAACTCCTTGAGAACAAGAGAGCTCAAGAAGCTAATTGTAGTCGCATATGACATTGGTATAAATAAAAAAGTACAAACTTCCACTTTAGGTTTGAAAGGTGCTTTTTAATGATTGCTTCAAACAGAATGTTTTTAAGAGTTAATTTTATACATTAGCCATTCATTCATTTGTCCATTCATTTATTCATTCATCCCATATTTATTGAGGGTCTATTTGTTGACATTTGCTTTATTTGCTCAAAAGCTGAGTATCTACAGGTTCCCCATTCCCTAGAAGAGAATTTAATTGGGCAACAAAAAATAGGCTATCTTGTAGACACTCAAGGAAATTGTAGACATAAGATCCTCACAACTAGAATTAATTAATTCAACATATCTCAAAATATGAATTCAGGACCATCTTAATTGTGTAGAATCACTACACACATAATTATTAAAAATAGAGATCTTAGAGATCCACTCCAGTCATAATAAACTGGACTATCAGGAGTGAGATTGGAAATTTAATAAGTTTGATTTTACTCAAGTCCGAGAACTATCAACCAAAGGGATCTTAATGATAAGACCCACATGCAATTGCTTAATATTAAATAGCTTCTCCTTTCTCTTTGCAGAAGTAAGATTTTACTTGGCTGACTCTAACATCTAAGGATAATATAAATATAGCTCAGAATTGTCAATGCCCAAGACCAGAATTGCACTGAATGAATGTAATCATTCTCTCTTTAAACTAACCTAAAATAAACCCGCATGAAAAAGAAAATAACAACGTAAACCTGTCCTTTCCTTATAAACTCACATTTTAGAAATAAACTATAAAATATTTGTTATTAAGATAAAAAGTTTTTTAAAATAATTTATAGTTGCATTTAATTTTGAATGAAGGACTAGGTTAGAGAGATGAAGAAAAACTTAATTTTTAAAAACCTGTATATTTCTCATATGGAATTATTTTATTTTATTTTTGTTTTAATTAACTTGCTGTAAGGGACATGTTTATCAGGTACTATGTGATATTTTGATACATGTATAAAATGTGTATTGATACAAAAAGGGCAATTAGCATTTCAATCTCTTTATGATTCTTTATGTTTGGAGGCTTTGAGCTCTTCTCTTCTAGTTAATCATAAATGATAACAATAGACTATCGTGAACTATAGTGACCCTACTGTGTTTTATAACACTAGAACTTTATTCCTTCTGTTGTGGCTTGTGACTAGATGTCCCCCCAGAGCCTCGTGCTCATAGGTGGGGCTTTTTCAGAGGAGGCTAGATCTAGGGTGTGTGGATGTGGATTAAAAACGTGATACCTAAATTAGTTCACTGATTGGTTTAGCATAGTTTTGAGTGTGGACAATGGGAAGGGCCACACTGGGTGTAGATGGCATCACCCAAAATGCTTGAAGCCTGGATTGTATGAAAGGGAAAGGGAGGCTTGCTTTTGTTGCTTCTGCTGCCTTCTGCTTGCCTTGACATGGACTGTTTCCACTCTGTGAGGCCCCTCTGAGATGCCCCTCTGCCATGCCACCCTACCTTGAGCCAGCTGACTATGGACTGAAATCTCTAAAAACTGAGCTGAAATAAACCTTTCCTCCTTTAACTTACTGGACTTGGGTATTTTATCCCAACAATGAGAAAGTAAACAAGATACCTTCTAATTACATTTTGGTATCTGTTGCTCAATTTTCCTCTATCCTTTCTCTCCTCTCGTCTTTCTGGCTTCCATTATTTACTAGTTTACTCTTTTCTAGTTTGAGATCAACTTTTTTGCTTTTTAGTGCCCACATATAAGAGGGACCATGCAGTGTTTGTCATTCTGTTTTTGATTTATTTTACTGAACATAATGTCCTTTGCTTTTGTCCATTTCATTGTCAGTTACAGATTTCATTCATTCTTATGGATGAATAAGATTTCATTGTATATGGAATGCTATAAGATTTCTTTACCCATTTTCTTTATCCATTCATTTATCAATGGACAGATGGACATTTATCTGGATTTTATATCTTAGCTATTGTGAATAATGCTGCAATAAACATGGAAATCCATGCAACTCTTTCTTATTCTAATTTCATTTATTTTGGATATATATCCAGAAGTGGGATAACTGAGTCATAGAATAGTACCATTTCTACTTTTTGAGTAACCTTCACTCTCTTCTCCACAGTGGACTATACTAATTTCTATTTCTACCAATAGTGTATTAAGAGTTCTCTTTTTGCTACACCATCAAAATCTTGTCCTGGCACACACGAATCCTTCTGAATTTGAAAAACAATAAACAACCATTGTGAGAGGGAGCTCTTGACCATGCCCATCTGAACTGCACTATATCACTGTTTTTCTTCCCTTGACCTCACAGTGCTTTAGTCCAGGAGGGACCTAGTGATGTTTTCCTTGTTTTACCCTCAAACTCACTCCTCTTCCCAGGATACTTTTACTCACTTTCTGAATTTTTCTAATCTGGTCAGAGAGTGTGTCTAATAGACGAGTTTTCAGGAAGTCCATCACTTTGACCACCCGGCCATCAATGTAGCAACTGGAATGAAAAGAAAATAAGAATCAGATAAAATATTGAGCAGGGAAGTACAAATATTCTTCTCTGGCTAAAGGTCTGTGTTGTGTGAGATAACAACCTAGAGTTCCACTGGACTGTTATTATATAGTGAAAGGTTTTGACACTAGGTTCTTTTCAAACAAAAATATGCTTTTTATTATGTCCTTTCTACTTCCATTTGTGGGCTAATACTGTGATTTTTTTCAACCTTTGTCACATAAAACCTATTGCTTCCTCTATGGGAATTGACAAGAATTCCATAATACAAATTGCATAATGGGAAAAACGTAGCTTTTTCCCTTGAGAAAGTGATTTAATACTCATCTCATGCCCATGTCTATCCCTACCTTAAAGTAATAAAAGTACATGACAGTATCAAATGGTTACTCAAACATTTGGTAGGGTTATACAACTTTAAATAAGAAAATAAATATGAAAGAAAAAATTTGATTTAGCACAGTGAGTGGGTCTCAAATGATTTCAGTGTCTAGCTCACTTTCTGGCAAATTACCTAATGGTCAACCATCTCCTACTACCTTTGGGCTGAATAAACGAGTGAATGGAAGGACAAACAAATTAATTAATGGTATAAATTCCAGTCTTAGAGTGTTCTAAAACAGTAAAGAGTTGGTATGCATTGGTTTCTTCTTTGGTCTTGTTTTCATTAGGTAGCTTAAGTGAAACATCAAGTTGTACTGACTCTATGTTGTGAACATATGCCCCAAACAAGTCTATCTAGGCTTATGGAGACTTCTTTTGTGGGCTTTTTATTCTGAAGATTATGCTAGGAGGGACCTGGTGTTAGGTGACCTTTATTACTTCAAACACTTTTATCCTCATCTTTGGTAAATTCTGAATTGAATAATTTTTTAAATGTTTCTGATTCCTGGGTATCTTTTTTTAACCCAGTAGGGTCTCTTTGATTGATGGCTAATGACAGATTTTTCCATTTTTAATAAAGTATCCACTTTTCAGCACATATTACAGAACTATTTAAAATTTCTTTTTAATGTTAAATTCTCATACCAATATGTGATGTATTGGAATGGTTAAGTTTTACAATTTTGTTTTGTAAAGCCAATGGGTGCTCTAGTTGAAGTATGCTAGTGTTTTGGTAAAAGCTGAGTGCCTTAAAACATTTCCACAGAATCTAATATTTAAATGATTGATTGGCATATGGAAAAGAATATAGTTTTAGAGCCAGAGATAACTGAGTTCAAATTCCAGATTGGTATTTACTATTTACATGACCTTAGGTAGTAACTTAGTCTCTGTGGACCTAGGTTTTCTTTTTCTTAAAAGAGGTATCTATTCCTAAGAATTAATTGCAAATTGAAGAGATAATGAGCTTAAAGTGCCTGGCACCCAGTAGGCACCCAGTAATTTTTAGTTCTTTTCTAATTTTCTAATTTTTAATTCAGAAATATGAGTTATAAATACTATAGGACTGATTAATGAATTATGTATGATTATAGAATTCTAAAAATGTGGAAATGCTGTGTCAGAAGGTACACATTTGGATTACTTACTTTAGGGAATAAAATAAACAATGATACTATGTGTCACCTTATCAGTGGAACAGATGCTAAAGTCAGATTTGGTAAACATTTATTACGTGCAACATACATTGCCAGTTAACTCCATTATTAAGATATCTTACAAACCTCTTCCTGTTAAAACATCACTATGAGCAACTCTGATTTTTTTTTAAAAAGTTGAAATAGGTGATACATTACATGATAGGTAGGTTAGGACAGAATCATGTTAATATTTAAAATAATTCTGTAATGTAAATTTAATACGCAGTTGAAGCCGTGAATATTTGTACTATACTATATGGTGACTAAGCTGATGCCAAACAAATGCATTGTAAATGTTCTTTTGCTATTCAAACATTTTATAGTTTCCTTTTTTCTGCTAGTTTCCCATTAACTATAGTAAAGATCAGTATTTATAATTCTTGCTGGAAACTCATACAAATTAAATACTTATTGAGATAAAAATGCCAATATATTTTTTCAATATGGAGGACTCCCTGTGAATATCTTCACAAGTCCACCACATACGTGGGTGAAGATCCCTTCACTCTTCCCCTTCTTTCTTTGTTCTTTTTCTCAACAGAACCTGGAGTTTAAAAAGAAAAACCCTATTCAATCCATTTTGCCACTTACTACTACCTATGTGATACTGGATTCCCTTTAGGATGGGTTTAAAAGAATTCAAATCCATACACATAGTGCTTTTCATAGGTTTACTGTAGCCATCAAATAAAGAAAAATGCTGACCACAGAAACTGGCACATAAGATGTATTTAATAACCAAATCAACTGTGTTAGGTAGGCCCAGGTAGTAGAAACTTAGAGCAAAAGATTATGGGATACAGTGGTCAGGGAAAGTTACTCTCCAAAGGAGACCATACTTATCCCATTGTAGAATATGAAGAAGACAAGTACAGAGAAGCAATAACAGACTCTGTTTTCTTAGTAGGCAGGAGGCAGAGGAAAGTTGGCTTTCTGTTCCTATTCATTCAGTGCCTAACATTTTAGTTTTCTGGATCCAGAAATAGTCCAGTTCCTTCCTGTGTCACATGGGAGAGAAACTCCAATAAGAACTTTGGCTTATGTTTTTAGAGCCTATTTTTGACCTTATTTTTAACCTAACAAGCTAGATTCAATCATTCTCAGTTGGTCTTGGGTTATTTATCAAAAAAGGGCTGTTCATTGGATTATAGCAGGAGAGCTACAAGCAGGAAAACCACTGGACAAAGTTATCTGAATGGTGCAGGCAAGAAGTGATCTGAATCTAAATAAGGAGAGTACAAAAGAAGTAAGAGGCGGTGAAGGAAGGGAAAACTCATAAAATTTATGTAGTAGATAAGAGCAAGGAAGGGAATTAATGATGACCATAGACTTTTGATAGAATGTTTTCAAAGACACTGTTACCAAGGACCTACATTACCCTTTGGTAACAATATATTACTAAAAATAACAATGATTTCTTACTTTTCTTTAGGGGTGTGTGTGTGTGAAGGGATGCTGGTGATCAAACCCAGGCCCACATGCATGCTAGACAATCACTTTTACCACTGAGCTCCTTCCCCATGTAGTCAGCCTGGTGTATAGATTTTCAAGGGAGATGAAGAATTCTGATTGCAATATCAAAGACACACAGACTATCAAGGAAGAAATATATGCCAGGTTGTTGGAAATATGAGAAGGAGTTAAAAAGTAGAGAGGAAATGTTGACCTGGGGCTCTTCTTCAGCTTATAATAGTTAAAGCCATGCCTGAGTGTAAACTTTCTAAGCAAATAAGGAAAGTTAAGAGATATGTCAGAGATTCTTTCCAAACATGGTCCTACACATTGCCTCTACTTTGACCCAGCTAAGGATCCTTTCCTCCCTCAACTTGACCATCATAGCATCCTCAGTCTGGGTTCAATTCACATTTGGGTGTCAAGGGAATTCCAATATGATATTGAGAGGTGTCAACAACTTTCACTTAAGTTTACACACACATTTATGTTGAATTATGGAAATAACTTCGGTCATCCAAATTTGGTATTACTTTTAAGAGAGGGCATCATTTAACCATAGGGTATGAATCTGATAAATCCCTAAGTCTCTTTCTTCAATACTCTTAGACAATTAGCTTGCTGTATTTACCCTTTGTGAATGTGAAGCTTCTAAGAAAACATCAGCACAGAGAATCTGTGGCCATTTGAAAAATTCTTGCCTTGTTCTAATAAAATTCCTGCTTTGGTTCTGATAGTGGCTATCTATAGTGAAAGGTCCAATATATCAAATAGATCTGGACATGAAGGGGATGAATCAGTGACCCTTTGGTAACAATATATTACTAAAAATAACAATGATTTCTTACTTTTCTTTGGTGGGGGCGTTGTGAAGGGATGCTGGTGATCAAACCCAGGGTCACATGCATGCTAGACAATCACTTTTACCACTGAGCTATGTTCCCAGCTCCAATAATGGTGTTTTCTGGCAAACACTGGATAAAAGTAAGCAGAGCTAGATTCCAATTGACTGCTCAGTGACTGAGAAAAACTCTCTGCTTTTCTTTCTCACTGAGAAGATAAAGTTGACTCTTAACTATTCACCAGTCTCCACAAGAGTTAATTAACTAATTTAGGGATGGCTACAAAAGATTCCAAAGATCAAATAAATCAGAAAATAAAAGGAAGGGAGGATGATTCATCAATTAGAGGTGTTCTGGTACTTCCACATAAACCCTCACAGCATAGTTTTAAAATCACACCGACACTTTCAGATAAATCATAATTCTTCTTCAAGTTTTCTTGAAACTTCAGTATCTCAGGATCTCAGTTGACTGAGCTGTTCAACAAACTGAATCTAAGAAAAGTTGTGCTATAATGATCTTTTCAGTAACTACTACAAATGCAATAAGGTTGAAACCACACAGTCAAAAAGTCTGTCTTTTTCAATAACAGCAATCTTCATTCTAGGCTCTAGATTGGCAGGTCATATCAAGCACACATCACACAAGGGTCAAGGGTGGCAGAATATACACAGTAAATGAAACCATTTACCAAGTAACTCACCAACTCTCTTGTTCACCTTTAGTTTTAAATTTTATTTTCAGTTCAATGCATTATTATCTTATTTTATTTAAAAGACTTCCCTTTATTTTTATTATAAAAGAAATGGTCATTGTTGACAAATTAGAAAATGAGCACAAATGAAATTAAAATATGAAATGAAAAATTACCTTTAAGCCTGACATCTGGAGAGACTTATTAACATTTTGCTGTATAATCTTTCAGAGTTGTTTATAGTTTAGACATATAAAATTTCCTAAATTAGATATTTAAAATCTATTTTAGATCCTATTCTACTAGCATGTAAACTTAAGAACTGCCCCTCTGAGACATCAAGCCTATCTCACAGGGATACTGAGAGAACATGAGAGACTCCTGGTCAAAGCATCTTATTCTAATTTCAATTTC